TTTTTGGGGGATGGGGAGGCCGAGGGGCTCTCTTTCATGTTAATCTAATTGTGCATAACCCAGGCACATTTTACTGTGTGGGGAGACTCTTTCTTTGGTGTCCTTCCCCACCGCACACTCTGGCCTCTTTCATTTCTCCCTTCCTGGTGTCAGAGTGCGGCCCTGGCCTGCGTCTCTGGGAGATTCCCAGAAGGGAGAGATACTGTGCTCTGCTGCTGAGGAATTTACTATCCGCTCACTTGGCAGCAAATGAAAGTGGGTATTAATTTCTCCGAATGCTGGTGGAGTCGCAAGAGAGGGCCGTGCCAGATCTGCACCCAAATCTGTGTGTACTTCACAGCATGTGGCTGTTTCAAAAGAGGGAGAGCAAAGAGAATGAAAGGGAAGAAAAGATTCTCCTGAGCTGACTTCTCTGCATTTAGCATGGTTAGGATGGGGATCTTAGGCTTTGGATCAGATGCGAGGCTTGAGCCCCGCATGGAGTTAAATTATGCAGCTGCGGGATGTCAGGTCTTCCCGAATAGGATGCTTCGTTTAGATTTTCCACAATGCTATTGAAGTGCTTATTTTCCTCCTGAAGAGACACAAACAGATGCAAACTTCTGTAAACACTTTAGAAATGAATTCAGTGAGTTTGGCCTCTCAGCAGTGCTCAATAGCTGACAGAAAAATGTCTAATTAGTGCAAGTGGAAATAATAGGGGCACTTGGATCCCTTCCATCCTCCTCCAAGTCTACTTTTCCAAGGAACTCAAAGGCGCTTTTGTCTGGCAGGTCACCCTCTCTCAGGCTTTTGTGCTCCAATCTATTAAGAGTAGAAGGAGGAAAAATAGATTAGGCAATGTTCTTTGCTCAAATGTATGGCGTGTTCATACGGGGTGCAGAAAGGCGTGTTTGCAGCCTCTCCTTACAGGTGCTGGGGAGAGATTCCTGTGTTGGCGACAGCCACAGGCAACACACGTGTGGCAGAGCAGGCTGTCTTTGAGGACCCTGCTCCCCTTCACGGGTACCATAGTGCTTGCTCCTTTCCTTTTTCCCTCTCTGTTTCCAGGAGCCTCAACCTTCCAAGCTGGTAGAGACAAGAAAAGTGAAAAGGAATGAGGGCTTTTGCCATCCCTCTAGATGGTCCCTAGTTCTGTTCTAACCTTTTTAAAATCTAACTGAAAGGGATCTGGGGAGCCAGCCTTCGCCTGCTGTTGACATTTCACCATACAAGACAGGGAGTGAGCGGCTGGCTTCTTTCTTCCTATTTTTCTGCTATGGTATCCTTGTCATTGAGCACCCACAACCCACCCAGCTCTGTGCTGAGCATTTCATCTAAATTTCCTCAAATCCTAAACTAATACTGCAAATAGCTATTACTCACATTTCACATGTAAGGTTGTCAAAACGAGAAAGGGTAGTAACTGAATAAATAGTAAAGCTAAGAAGCAAACTCAGATGATAGTTTCATCCAGAGGTTAATTTCTTGTTTCCACAAGCCTTCATTTTGATTATTTTTTTATATCTTCCATGTCTCTACTTCATGTAACTAATTTTTACAATAACTCCTAAAACACATAAAATAAAATTTTAGTAACTGTTATTTAAGGATCACTTTCCATAGATTTATTTTTCCAGGCCACATGAGCTTCTTTCACAACTAGAAATTTTGTATTCCATGCCAATATTGTAAAAATCTCATTTTATTGGAGGACGGAGATTTGTGGGTCTGTAAACAGTCTCGAGCCTTGCTCTGGTATTCAGTTAGGTTAGCAAACAGTTTGATCCTTCTGAAGGTCACTTCTAAACTTCACGAGTCAGAACAGCAGTTTTACTGGTAGGCTCATACCATGTCCCTACAGCAGCAGTACCTAGCCAATACCCCATGCTAGGCCCTGTGAACAACAGAATTTCCACTGTGGCTATGGAGCCCCTTGCTGTTGGAGGTCCTGCACCACTTTCTCTGCTCCTTTCAAGTGGTTCTTTGCCCTGCATTAATTCTCTCCATGATGAGCTGATAAGGATTCTGCTGAAGACCCAAAGGGGGTGCTCTACAGAGCCCCAAACTTCTCACTCTACCTTGTGAGCTCTACCTTGGCCCCTGCAGGTGAATCTCATTCTTGTACAGTTCCCTTAGCTCATGGAACCTCCTCAGAGTCTGTCCTCTGGATCTAGAAACCCTCTCACAGGACCTAGCTGGAGCCACCCAGTATAGCACCTGAGCACTCACCTTCCAGGTGTGAGCACCTGCTAGATATTTTCAAAACCCTGTTAAGTCCATCTCATTCTTCACTGCAGTTTGTTTTTATTTCTTTAGTTCCTTAGAATTTTCTCATAGGAGTAAAGAATATGACCCCACCATCCTCGCTGTCTAGACTCAATAGTGAGTTCAGTTCCCACTCTCTCCACAGCCTTCCAAGGCCCCAGGTTACCTTGACCAGACAATGGGGAAGAGATGTGTGTCCCTGTTGGCAGGATGGTAAAGTACAAGTTCTATGAAGGTTCACCAAAAACTTAAAATTTAAATTCTCAGATGATCCAGCAATCCAGTCTCTGGTAAATATCCAAAGGAATGGCAAACAGGGTCCCAAAGAGATGTTTCCACACCTGTGTTCATGACAGCAGCATTCACAACAGCCAAGAAGCGGAAGTAACCCAGGCATCTATCAGAGGGGCAGTGATAACACCTTATTATTCAACCTTTAAAAGACAGGAAGTTCTGTCACCTGCTACAACATGAAAAGGCTTTGAAAGCTTCATGCTAAACAAAGCAGGACAGCCACAAAAGATGAATGCAGTGTGACTCCCCTTATATGAGCGAGCTAAAGTACTTAAATTCATAGAAAGAGAAGGTAGGGTGGGGTGTCAGGATTTGGGAGTGAGAAAGGTATTGTTTAATGGCCATGGAACTTCAAATTTGCAAGATGAAAAAGTCCTGGAGAGGTCCTTCACAACACTCAACATGACTGAAATGTATATTTTAAATTAATACTATAAATATATACATACATTGGGGCTGGGGAGATGGCTCAGTGGAATAAG